TATATATATATATATATATATATATATATATATATATACACTTTAAAATAGGAGCAATCCGAACCAGAGCATCCATCAACCACCCACCTAATTGTGTGTGTATTTCTTCAAAAATGGCACAAAGAAATGATGAAGTGCTTCTTGTTGTTTGTTTGTTTTTGCTCTGTACGAGAAATAAACATTTTGATACAATAACGACCACTGGAGTTACATCTCTAGATTCTAGTGTAAGGAAAAAGAAAGAGACAAACAGAAAAACGACAAAGAAGAAAAGAAGAAGGAACTACCAGCAATATCGACCAATCCATTCCAAGAATAAAAGGGATTGTTAGTTAGAGTTGTATAGAGCACAAAAGCACACCGACACAATAATGGCCACTTAGTACACTGAAAAAAAGGTAAGACAAAGAAATACATGATGTAAATCACAGGGAAAAGAAAAAAAGTAGAAACCACAAGTGACATCCTCCAAACACCCTAGGAATAGGGATTGTTAGTTTTTAAAGTTAATGTTGTTGTTGCTGCTCCTCTTCCACAGAATGAAGTAGACGAAGCAGACGACTGAGGATTAGATTCTTCTAGAAGATCTCGTGAAAAAAAAGAACAAAGCTTACCTCCTCCGACGGTCATTCTGTCTGTCTATCTCTGAGGACTTGGAGGTGGCGAAGAAGTCGGATAGGATGATCCTAGGGGGGTATTCTTAGAATGGCTCGTCGCGTAAGCGATGGAAATCTCCCACAGTTTGTTTATAAGACTTTTTTTTTCTATCCGGCTCAGATTTGTATCGTGCGGTGCCGTGTGGCGCACACACAGCAAACAGCAGCTGTTCTCTCAGAACCTCTCGACAACTGGGGCGGAACTGGCTGGAGATACGGAGACTCTCAGCCTGACTTTCCACAAGACTGGAAAAGAAGGTTTGTTTCGCTAGGTTCTAACTTCTAGAGATTCTAAAGTCAGAGTTTTTTGTCAGCGAAGCTGGATGTTGAATCGAAAAAGATATTATTATGTTTTATTATTGCCTGATGCTACGACGAAGCTTTCGTGCGTTAGATCTGAAGACCTTCGATCCTATAATTACAAATGTTGCCGCGTTTTACTCTCACGCAACCGTACAACTAGCTAGATCTAGGCGAAAACAAAAAAATGTTCAGCGATCTGGACAATTTTACAACGCGTAGAATAAACAAATCTGTACGATACCGTGAGTTCAGGAGGAATGTGACAGCCTGGCAGGGCACACAGTGCTAGGTTTGTTTCCCGTATCTTTTCACTGGAGTTGATTAATCCAAGGAATAAAGGCAGCGATGATCCAGCAGCTGCTAAGGCGGTGTGTGCGGCTCCAAAGGGGCTTATTATTGAAAAAATCAAGGAATTTTTTTCTACTGAGGGACTGGCAATTTATATCTTTAGAAAACAACAACAAACAAAATTATACGACTTGAGGTAGACGAGTTTTGTTTTGTTTTTTAGTTATCACGGTTCAAGAATATAACACACACTACACATTGGCGAAAGAAATGTAATAAATACAACACAGTGTTTTCAACAAGAGTGCGTGTTAGTAGATGGAGTAACACAGTAGTACATGAGCCGCCACGGCGGGCAGGTGAGTTGGTTGTAGGGTGGGAACAAAATAGCCACTGAACACGAAAAATAAATACAAATGTTACACTGTAGGTTTTCACAACAACTGCTCACTCACTTCACTCACTTTTCGTGGAATAATGAATGAGTGAAGGAACGAATGAACGAACGAAGAAGCTGCGTGGACGACGACGATGAAGACGACGATGAAGACGACGACTACTAGATCTACTGTTGGTATGCTGACTGGAATGAATATGACTAACGAACTGTTTGTTTGTTTGCTTGTATTGTAAAGTTTGTTTGCTTGCACGAACGAATAGTTGTACGATAAAAAAAAAATGATAACAATTAAAAAATACGATGATGGCGTTATAATAAATAAGAAATGCGAGTAAATAAATAGACAACTGCAACCGTGAAACTGAAGATATAAATAGCTCACAACAACATCAAAGCACCGAACAACACAAAGTGTGCACACTGACTGAGAGGCGAGTGAGCGGGGACTCCGGGATACTCAGCGGGCATGGAACAGCACAAGAAGGCTGTGGGGTGGAGGAGGGGGAGGAGGAGAGAGAGAGAGAGAGAGAGAGAGAGAGAGAGAGAGAGAGAGAGAGAGAGAAAGGGAGAGAGAGAGAAGACTCGCGGCCAGGCAGGGAGCGGAGAAACGCACGAACCGCGCCTGTCTGCGAAAGAACGGATGGACTTTGTTGTTGAAGATCCAGCAAGCAGCCGAACGCGCGCGCTCTCTCGCTTCTCTTTTCTCTCCCTCTACAAATCTCTTTCTCTTCTCAGTCTTCTTCCATCGAGCTCTTGAAAGAAGCTCGGAGGAGGGGGAAGAAGGCGCGCGCGATTTCTCTGGCAGGCAGAAAGCGCTACTACTGCTGGCAGGCGAGGCAGGTGGGCCGGGCCAGTACCCATTCTCTCGGAAACAGGGCTCTCCAAACCCAGTTTTATTAAACCGGTATGGACAGTCCGAAGAGCAACTTCCAACTACTGTAAAAGCTATAAGAAGAACACACACTTTAAATTGTGCCCTCTCGACTCGGGTTCGAGGATCCTGTGTCAGAATCTCCGCAAGCTCAATATGACTCGAAAAGAATACTCGGGGCAAATGATCAGGTCAGGGAGTAGAATGCTGCATTTTTAAAGATCATAATCTGTCAACTTGCTCCCTACAACCCGCTTAAAAATACCCCTACATACCTGCCACTGTACTGTCTTCCCACTTAGTTCCTCTCTACACTTGTCTTGGCCCGATAGAATAGGCTAACACTAACAATACCACTTGAGCAGAGACTGTGCCCACAATTTCGGAACTTCACAGTGACCGTCAAGATGGTTCCAGTAGGGAACGAAATAGACGGTGCCCACGTCCCTCATGACTCATTAGAGCAGAGGAAGAAAGGAATAATGCTAACGTTACTTAAAAACGAAATCCCACATCATCACTCATCACGATTATATTTAAAATCATTTACCGCTCTTAAATCAATGACTTATATCTATAATCCTGGAATCCCTACCTGCCATTACAGTTACTTGTTACACTAAGTATGCACGTAATACACTATTGGACACTATCATCACTCATTGTTTTCTACCCATCAGATGGCGTCACTCTCATATAAATGATAAACACACACACACACACACACACACACACAACACACACACCAGCACATACACATACACACACACGACGCAACCACACACACAAGCACGCACACACAAGCACGCACTCACAAACAAACACACCCACAAAACACACACGCATAAACATGCACACACACATACACCAATTAGAATATGATTAACAAGTTTTTGCATTGTTTAGAGTGATAGCTCGTTTGATTTTTAATCATAGGCCTACTATTTACTATAACATGTTATACATGTACCCTAACATATTTTAAACGAAGCTCTAGATTTTAGAATGCAAAAATTTTTAAGAACAGCTTGGGCTACAAAAGATTTTAAAAAAAAACAAAAACCCGAAAACATTCATTTAAACCTTATAGATTACAGATTGTTGCATTGGCTCATAAAATAAATTGCAACCCGGTTATATGAAATACCAGTTATCTGGATTTGGGATTCGAATATCCCGAAGTTTATCTTAGAAAAAGCAGCCTGGTCCGTCCAGTGGCCGGCCGCTGTTTATGATAGGAGGCCTATTTAATGGCCGTTCTTTCAGGGGCGCGCGGTGGTTGGGGGTGGGGGAGGAGGTGACAGAAACGGAGAGAAAGACAGACAGACAAAGGCATGATGGAAGGAGTGAAAGAAAGTGATTGAGAGGCAAAATGTTGAAAGGGTGGAGCTGGAGAGGGGACAATGCGGTGGGGATGTGATTGTTGTGAGAGAAAGACAGAGAGAGAGAGAGAGAGAGAGAGAGAGAGAGACAGACAGACAGACAGAGAGAGAGAGAGACAGAGAGAGACACAGAGAGAGACACAGAGAGAGAGAGCGAGCGAGGGAGAGAGAGAGAGA